GCATTAGGAAATCATTACTTCAAACTAAAGGAATATCCCGAATGTATCCCTCATTTCAAGCGATCGGTTCAATTGAATTCAATGCAAACGGATGTCTGGTTTCGATTGGCCTTTGCGGCGATGATTACCGAAGACTATGAGTTGGCGGCCACTGCCTATAGACGAGTGGTTCAGTTTGAGACCAATAGCTTCGAGGCCTGGAATAACCTGTCGAAAGCCTATATAAAATTGGGACAAAAGGTACGGTCGTGGAAGACATTACAAGAAGCCATTAAATGCAATTACGATGAGTGGAAGATTTGGGACAATTATATAGCCGTTTGTGTAGACATCGGAGCCTTCGCTGAAGCCATACACTCGTGGCATCGATTGATCGAAATTAAAGGTCAATATATTGACGACACGATCGCCGATATATTAGTGAACGCTATTTGCGAGGGAATTGTCGCTCGAAATGGCGATTCAGCCGCAAGACTGGCCCCTAAGATGCAGGAACTGTTCGGTCGGATTGCCGCCACAAGTAGTGGTTCCACCAAAATATGGAGACTTTACGCTAAGTTATTGATTCATAACAAAGAGCAGGACATCGAAAAAGTGATTAATTGTCTCCAGAAGTGTCACCGAAATGCCGTTCAATCAAACGATTGGCAAAAAGAGCCGAAACTTATTCTCGAGACTCTTAAGCACTGTTTACTTCTTGCAGAGGAATACTTTTCGAAAAAGTGATTAATTGTCTCCAGAAGTGTCACCGAAATGCCGTTCAATCAAACGATTGGCAAAAAGAGCCGAAACTTATTCTCGAGACTCTTAAGCACTGTTTACTTCTTGCAGAGGAATACTTCGAGTGCTCTGTTTTAGACACAACTAAAGCACTGCGAGTATTGTCTTCCAGTAAATTAGCCATAAATTCGGTGATAGTATTGGTGCAGAAAAATCGGATCAATTGGTCAGAGAGTGAGCTGAAAGACGACATCGAAAACCAGTTAAAAGAGTGCGAAAACAAAATGCAAACCATTTTAGAGAAAATTAAAGAATTAAATTAATTTTTGTAATGATTTGAATGAATGAAATAAAACTATTTTAATATTTGTAATCATTTATAAAATTGAATTAAATTAAATTAAATTTAATAAACTTTAAAGTGATATCAAAAACTTGATACAAGTGTATGGATGGCGTGACTGTCACCACACGTGCCAACCATTATCACAACAAATACAATATTTTGTGTTTCAAAAGTGTCTGCATTTGCATCGATGGCTACACAGATATCACCGGAAGAGCTCATTGATCCGGATTTAGTCCTTTCGGAGCACACGTTGAATGCATTGAAAGAGTTTTATGCGGAAACCTCTTCGCGACTCAACGCCGATGACTCCAAAGACACCGATATTCAGGAGAATTGGGTACTAATTGGTGATTAAAACTCTTGATTATCATTCACTCAAACCATTTACACTCTTTGACAGCAATTGAGTCAGTTTTGGTACACCGAAGACACGTCACAATATCTGTGCGATGAAGTGATCCATGCTTTGGGTGACCACAAGACACGCAAATCCATTGCCTGTATATCGTGTCCGACACTCTTTGACAAACTCTTTAAGAAGTTATCACAAGAGGAGAACAATTCAATTGATTTGGTTTTGTTTGAATTTGACCGAAGATTTGAAGCTAAATATTCCTCGGGATATGTCTTCTATGACTACAACGAACCCATTGATGACCACATGAAAGAGAGATTTAAAGAGCAGTCTTTCGATGTGGTTATAGCGGATCCGCCCTTTCTATCGGAAGAATGTATGAGAAAAACATCGCAGACCATTAGATACCTGGCGATGGATAAGATACTGGTCTGTACGGGTGCTGTCATGAGGGATGTGTTAGCAGAGTGTCTGCAACTCGAGGAATGTCTTCACTTCGAGCCCAAACACAACCGAAACTTAGGAAATGAATTCAAGTGTTTCTCGAATTTCCTTTTGAGACAATTGCCGCACAAGTGACTGGATCTGTTGTCGTATGTCATCGAAAGTGTGGTCATTATTATCATATATTTGTAAGAATTGTGAATAAAATTTACAAATAATCATAACTTTATTTTATAAATAAATTTGTTAATATTATACATGTAATGTTTATGTCAACTATTTTAAGATTATTAATAAATATTTTATACCGTAATTGGATATCGAAATTAGATTTGAGATTTGCTCAATTAATATGATTTCAAATTATTATTTTATATTTTATAAACTATTGATTTCTTAGTTTTAAAAATTTGAAATAATTCTGTCGTAAAATTATTGAGTATTGAAAATTTGAGTTTAACACTAAATATGTGTGACTGATGAGGTAGTAATTAATGATTTAATACCACTTTACTGACTATACATTTAATGACCGCATGATAAGTTTTTATAAGTTATAACCTATAACCTAGTACTGTACCTAAAATAGCTGGCTTTTCTCATATTGTATGTCTATTCAATAGACTATTGTTATAGTTTTATCACACATTTATAATATAAATTATAGCAATTATTTTCAATAAATTGTATAAAATGTAACAAATGTGCGACAATGATATCGAAATAATAAAACAACAAAAAATTAAATCGAAAAATTTGTGCTCAAAACATGAAATTTTGGATCCAATACGAGATTTACTTTTACACTTTTTGATGAGTTATGTGAAACGAGTCTTTAATAAATGTTTTCACAGGATATGAATCCCTATATAAGCAAAAATAAGATATACCGTGATCTATTTTAGTGCACAATATTATACGGTTTCCAAACATAGAATATTCTTATCTATATTCTTAAAGTGGTCTCAAATATTGGATTTGAGATAGAAATGAATAAAACATATTTAGTGTACTTTTATAACACATATTATGTTGAACTAGCGCTATATTCTAATAAATAATATTAAATTTCCATATATTTCTAATAAGCAAAACATATTTAGCACTTTTCGTGTAAAATTCACTTGTTTTTGAAAAAGCATTTGAATAGCAATTATTGAACAATAGCTCAAATAAATGCATTTTCATAGAATATACAATTAATACTACGTTAAAACAATTAGCATTAAACAAATTGTATGCCAGAAGTTGTGTCATATTTTTAGTAATCTCTTTAATTGTATTCCTGTGTCGATGCGGTCTATCACTAACAGAGCATAAGTCTGTGTAGTTGTAAATCAATACAAACAAACAGCTCATAAAAGTTTTACAGCATATTTACCGTAGATTTTGGGAATAAAAAACATTGGAATCGATGTCATAAACTGCTGTTACACTAACACATGCCATAAGTCACTAATTGGTCAGTGAATTGATTTTTTTGACACTTAATTCAACACTAAACTGTTTTTAGTTTAGTTTATTCCTAACAAACAAGTATTGATAAAATAAGTTAACCTTTTATATTATTTTGACAACAATTTGATTGTTTTTTCGACCTATTCGTTTAATATGAATAAATGATTTTGTAAAATCAAACCACACTCACTTTCATTACTAGTGATAACTTTTCTAGTTTATGTCTATACTGTACATTGTATACAAAACAATATTGTATAAATTAAATTAAATAAAGAATTTAAACATTTAGTCAAAAATTCTTTTTAATATGTGAAATGTTTTGGAAATTTAAAGTAATGTATTTTGAAAAATATAAAGTGAACTGATATTATAATTGTTGGAAAATTTTATTTATCAAAAATAGCCATAAATTGTGTTTTTGTGCTTCATTTTTATAGTTGTATTTTCTTGACGTTATAATACAATTGTTTCTATTCTTTATAGAATAAACTTTTTTAGACTAAAAACTAAAAACAATTTTATTTATTTGACAATTATTTCACATAAAAATTGTTTATTTGTTTAAAAATGAAATATAAGTTTACGTACAATAACTCAAATAATCTTGGGCAAATTAAAATTTTAATGCTGATTCATGAATTTTATTGACAACATAATAAAAATTAGAGCATTTTATGGGAATATAATGAATTGTCATTTCGCAATAACATACAATTGAATGTAATATGAAACTATTATATTGACAGTTGTGTTGACCCAACCAAACGACAACACAGTTTGCGTTGATTTTGATTTATTAAGGAATAATTCAATTGAAAGAATGTCTTTACGTTATGTTAATTCGTGTCATAAATAAACGTTTGATTTATTTTGTTTTCTTAACAAAAGCCAATTGGATAGCAATAAAAGTTTTTTATATTTGACAGTTTTGTTGAATTTTGTTTTAGAAAAATAACTTATTTCCATGATATAAATTTATAGATAAAATTTGTATAGAATTCATGATATAATATATTATAAAGAATTGAAAAGTGTTTTATTGAAAACTTATAATTTCAATTCATCAAAACAAAATCAACATATATTACTAATAGACACAAATATTACTATAGAAATAGCTGTTGGTTTAACACACTGATTGATTTTCTTTAGAAAAGTATTTCTTGTAATTATTTTGTGTTCAATAAAGTAGTTTAATATAAATATATTATATACAGTAGAGTTAAATACTTGATTATATAAAACAGAATATTCTAAAGATAGGTTATCATTTTGCTGAGATAACAAATTTTATATGAATTAAAGATAATTTTATATTCAAATAATAGCTTAAATACGGTATATATTGCTTATTTCTTGTTAAAATCGATGAAAAGATTAAATTCGAGTTAAAGCTTAAATAATTCTTTGCTTAAAATATCAGAATTAAGAAAAAAAGTTCAAAATAAGAAACACTCAATGAAGTGGCGTTTAGACTAAATATCGCATGTTTTATATCCAATACTAACATTTTAAAATGTTACTGTCTACTGTTAAAACAGTAGATGATTTAATTTATTTTTAATCAATAAGCTGAAAAAATATTTTTATATAACTTAAGTAACTTATTAATCGATTGGATATTCAGTTTCACTCATTTTACTATTCTTTAAAAAATAGTTTACTCTAATGAATATTTTTCAAACCTTTGCATTAAATCTCAAATAATGTTTAAATCTTTTAAACTCCGGATATATTTTAATATATATTTTATACCTACCTATATACAATATATTAACAATTAATTACTTTAAAAATAATTTTTAATTATTTATTTGATAAATCATGCTATATTTAAATAATTATTAAAATAAGTTATTAAAGACAAAAATTATAATATATTTTATACAATTTTAAAAGTATCGGTAACTTAAACAGTATACAACTGTAATACACATTTGAATAATCAGTGCTTTACAATACTGTACTTCATACAGTATAAATTAACATATTTATTAAACATATTAAAATATTATGAATAATATTTAATCAATTATGCAAAATACATACAAATTATAATAATGTTTAAAATGATACAATTTTTAACACAATTTGATATTTTTTATTTTTAGATTGTTTAGATTGCTCATTTTGTAGATTAAATTTAGTGAACATAATTCTCGGAATATTACAGTGAAGTGCTATTTTTGATTAAACAAAACAACAAACATATTATTAATATTGTGTTATTTTTCAATATTATATACAGATCACTTATCGGGTGTATTCATATCCCAAAAATAAAACACTGTTTTTACGATAAAAAGATTAAGTTTAATTAACGACATGTTTGTTTATTCACTTCATATTAAATAATTGAATAGCACTCAAACATTTTAAATTAAACTTTAATATATTATTATGATATAATACTGAATAACATGTCATTTCCACCAAAACATACTTGGATTTAAAAAATATATATTATAAGTTCACTGTATATCAAAGTACTTATAATCATATACTTTACATATCAAACACTTTCGTTTAATCTAAAATTTAATAATTTTTTCAATCATATGAATGGGAATTAATATGTATTCAAAAAAAATCAATACTTTTTCATAAAAACAGTTAACAGTTATGTACAAAGTTTGTTAATTAATTTACTAATAATTCAATTCTTAAAAAACTAAATAACTTTATATACAGTATATATATTAATTTATACGTATTTTCAATATTAAGTTATTTACTTGAAATTAAATGTGTCAAAATATTGTAAATATTAATACAATGTTTTGTTTTTATTAAATATCAATTTTGACATATTATGTTTGTTATATCATATAACTTATATGTACATGTATAATACAAAATATATAATTTGTTAACATTATTGACTTTAATTAAAATATTTTTCTTAAAAATAATTATTTATATACAGTTTATCAATTATTGATTTATATAATATAGATCATTAGAATATTTAAAGTAAGAATTTAATGTTAAAACAAATATACGGTAATATTATTTAATACAAGATATTTATATTCAAGCTAAGTTTTATTAATTTCTATTATGAATCCTTATATATATTCTGTATTTTCTTAATTTTAGAAATAGAAGTTTATCAGTTTATTATTAGTTTGATAAAATAAGTTAAGTTTGAAAAATTAATAAAAATTGAATTCATATAAATGATTTCTCTAACTTTAAATCTTAATATAAATTATTTACGACAACAATATTATTCAATTTTTTCATAGAATCGCTTTGATTGAAAACTACGTTAAGATTGAAATAAATAAATAAATTAGTCTTGGATCTTAATATATCCATGAATTTAGAAATTGTTTTCAATACGTGATTACAAATGCAAAGAATATGTGATATAATTATTTTGGTGGAAATCATTGGCTTGAGTGGAGAGAACCACAAGATTCTGCGTATAACCAGATATTTACCACTTCTGTGTCACTGCAGACCAGTTCAACACAACTCTCGTTTCAGTGAAAAACACTTTCAAACAATTTTACTAAATATCTCCGTTTAGTCTTTCGTTTCAATTCTTGATAAAGTAATTCTCGTACTAATCACACAAACATCTTATGAATATATATTTCAGGTAAGAATGGCTATAATTTCTTGAATTCTGTCGCTTATCGCATGAAAATTTTAAAGAATATTCTGTACTAATTAATTATTAACTTAAATAATGTAGGCAAA